TTGTTCAAATAATGAATGTATTGTTTTATCATCATTATCATTTGATAAATAGTAATCAGTTTCACTTGTTGACGCTGCATTATGTAAAATTCACTAATTATATTTTTGTAGTAAATAAATAAAATAAATAAAAAAGAAATTCATCTATAATATCCCTTTACACCCAATAACTAATCATGCAAATCAAACTTGAAACGTGTATACGTTTATTTAGACTTGATGAAAACTTTTTTGTTATAAGCAACCGTTAGCTTGGAGTGTTAGCTTACGCTGGAAAAAGAAACTTGCTAGAAACTTTATGTGTATTTCATCTGGTCGCTTTTAACCCCTTTCATCCCTTTCATTCCTGTCATAATTTCCATTCTTTTCATACTTTTCATAGTTTTAATTCCTTTCATACTTTTCAATGAAAAGGGATGAAGAGTTTTCATCCCTTTCATCCCTTTCATACTTTTTATACTTTGCTCCGAACAGCTTATTAAGGGGCTCACTCTCACGTAGTATCCGCCACCCCCCCACTCGGTCAGTCTGCTAATAGCTTACAGTTACACTATATCAATGTATTCCTGCAGTACATTTCATCTTACACTTGTATAGTGTATTCTAACAGCTCTGTTATCAATTTCTATATAAAAACCTCAGAGGAGAGATAGGGTGATTTTCATAAGAATGTGCTTTTATAATGAAAGTACCAGAACTTTTAGTAAATGTCTGTAGAATACAGTAGGTTTCTCTGTCAAAGTGGCAAAGTCAAGCACTGCTTCTGTCATATCACCATAGCTGCTAAAGCTGTTATCAAATTACTTTAATTGTATTTCTCTACTATTCTCTTGTTTTCCGAATTATCTGTTATATCTATTATACATAGATTTGCACCGAGTTCATCAATTAATACCAAAATTACCACGGTCAATCAATAATGATATTGATATCTACAATAAAGGACTAATGAATCTACAATAACTAAACAAACGCGATCAGGTACATTAGACTTTGTTCATACTTCAAGGCGGTGTATGTTCGGCGTATGTTATAATATCGAGAGTCCCTGTCCATTAAAAAAACGTTCATTAAAGTGGATTTTGTTTAATGGAAGTACCAGAACTTTTATTAAAATGTCTCGTGTAAAATTCTGGTGACCTAGAATTTCTGACGGCACAAGGATTTCATTAAAATTTAATGAACTTCCGTGTAATGAAAGTTTTTTAATGAAACTCCGATATCCCTGGAGGAGGTTAATAAAAATTATAAGTGAATCGTTTTTGTAAAAGAAAGTTGCTCAATCAGTCAATACTGATGCATAGAAACATTGTTTTCGGTTAGTCAACATGTCTACCATTGATTTATCGTACGTTAGTTCGCAGTTATGGTGTTATATTACACCAATTCAATTCATATTAGGCACTGCAGGTAGTCTATTAAATATTTACATATTTTCACGTAAAAATTTACGTATATACTCTTGTTCTTTGTACTATTTCATGCAGTCAGTTTTTGATCTATTACTTCTATATCTTGAATTACCTGCAAGATATTTATCGGAAGCATTCAATATTGATATAACAAATTCATCGCAAAGTTATTGTAAATTCTATTTCATAACCTCAGATGGTTTACGTTTACTGTCGCCCAGCCTCTTGATGTGGGCATGTTTAGATCGTTATCTATCATCATGTGGTGGCTCGAGATATCGACAATTAGCACAAATGAAACTAGCCCGTTATACAATCCCAATAACAATCATCATTTCCTTTTTACTATTCAGTTACGTTCCATTTTTCTATGAAGTATACCAAATTCCTAATACTACAATTATTGTCTGCTTTATTAATGGTGACAGAAAAACACAATTTCATTTAATTTATTTTTCATTTGTAACAGCACTTTTACCAACAATATTACTGGTTTTATTTAGTCTATTAACACTGAAAAATGTACGCCATCAACGTCATCAAATACAACCGATTAATCACAGTTTACATCGTCGACGTGATAGACAAATGGTACGATTAATGTTATGCCAAACCTTTATCTATATAGCATTTGGTTTACCGTTTTTATTAATATCAATATATTTGTCATTCACAACCGCATCAACAACTGTTCTATCATCGTTTGTTATACAACTATGTCTGCTGATAAACTATTTTGATTTTGTATATAGTTTCTATGTCAATACACTATCAGCATCAATGTACAGAAAGGAATTTATCAAATTATTAAATAAATTAATGAAAATATTATTTCGCTCAACAATAATTGAACGACGTTATTTATCACAACACTTTGGTCAACAATCAACAAGCTTTCGATTAAATCGAATTACTACTTTACAACCGCAAACAACAAATTGACGATTAATTAATCTTGTACATGTATGAAATGAGTTTAAAAGTCTGATAAATTTTGGTCTGCCTGTCAAAGCAATTTCTATCAAAAGTCGTTCGAAATGCAAAGTTTTCATTCATCGTAAAAGTCGATTATTTTTATTAGTTATAATATCCGCTTGGTAAGATGAAAATTGTCGGTATAAGTGACTTGTATTATAGAACTCGGATAGTATCATAGTTAACTAGAAAGTTTTTTTTGCAACGCGGAAGCAATGGATGGTTTGTCTTAGAGCGATCAACATATTTTAACATTAAAAAGTCTTCTTGAATGCCATCATCATTCATAACAACGGGAAATTTGTCTTTTTTGAAGGATGATTATTTGCGCTTGAACTTACATTCAGCTTTTATTTCATATTATGTTTATTTTATCTTTTTATATTTCCTTGATTTTATTTTGATCAATTTCTAAACAAGGCTGTATGCTTCTTGTCACTGCTTGTGCATGTTGTCACTGCTTATGCATGTATTCGATATTTTAATAATACATTATCATCAGAATCAAATAATCTATGATACAATGTTTATCGTTACACAAACGTAACCATAAATCATAGTCGTCAAATGGTAAGAAAATATATTTATATTTCTCGTAAATGTTTCCACGAATCATCATCGATAAATCACCAATATGATTTTCTTGAGTTATATACCGAATAATGGAATAATATTGAAATTATATCTACTCAATGGTAGGCCATGTTTATCAATAAGCCTCGTTACTTTATCTACCATTGATACGTGTAATTGTTCTCTAAATATTAAAGTGGTGTTTTTAGTCGATAGGGCGATATGTCATCCTAGTCCATTCGTGCAGTATATTTTGTTTTCCAATATCTATTGCCACTGTCAGGTTATAATGTTTTTAACTGCAACCATTTCATATTGGGAAGCCTATGGAAAAACTTGATTTTCTGCCCAATAACGAGCGATTTTCTGGTACCGACAATGAATTTGGATGTGTCCAATAATCCTCTACATAACCATAATAAAACGGTTTAGTTTGAAACGGGAAGGGGCGGATTTATAATCTTATACGACGGGGGTCATTGGGTGTAATCTATGTCCTGGCGTATTTTGGTTGAATTTTAAAAGGGAATGTGGAATTTTAATTGCTTTGAAGGATTCTCAAGTTTTTGAGTTAAAAGTGTACTTTTCTGGTCTGTTTTGGCTACAGAATTATTAAAATGAAGTAGTTTTCGCTCGAAATTACACTTAAAGACGTTCTATGTTTGTATCGACCCCTTCCGGTTTTTCGAGAGTCGGTTTTTGTGCACGGTCAATTAGTCGTCCTTTCCTATAGATTTTCTTCGTTGAGCTTGACCAAACTTTTAAGATATGCTGATCTTGTGACATTATGGTGAAGAAATTTTTTGTCTGGCTCCATCTAGCATGGTCTGTGAGATGTGCCATAACAGTGATCAAAAAGGAGTTATTCGTAGCTACACGATTTCTCAGTAACGAAAGGTTGTGGAGAGCTCGGGCAGGTCTTAACTTGACGAAAACATATGTGGCTAAAGGCTAATAGAGCCGGATTTTTGATATTTTATTTTTTAAACTAATGGTCATCGTGAAAAGTTCAATAACCGAAAAAGTCTCATTAACGTGCATAAAGACATTTTTCTAACCAAAAATCTAGGCCGAATATCAAAAATCCGCTTCTACTAGCCTCTGGCCAGATATGCTTTCGTCAAATTAAGACTTTGCCGAGCTCTCGGCGATGTTTTGTTACCGAGAAATCTTGCAGCTACGAAATGGTTAAACCCTTTAAGCCCGACAAATAATCATGCAAATCAAACTTGAAACCTGTATACCTTTGTTTAGACTTGATGAAAACTTTTTTGTTATAAGCAACTGTTAGCTTATCGACTTGTCCAGCTAACGGCGTCTATTTTTTACTCTTTTTCGAAGTTATTGCAATAAAGCTACAAACTAATCTAAAATGGCAACTAGATGATTAAGTAGATTAAACATTTCTCTACAAAACGAAAAGTGTCTCGGCTCTGAATGTTGATTCCTCACAGCTGTTGTACAAACATCCCCCAAAATCAATTTTTGGGCTATCAGAAAAGTGTCTAAAAGAGTGAAGACG